CTCCGTGGGTGATTCTGGTGCTATCTCTCTGAGAAGCACTGACTCAGCTCCCTGCCTTCTCTGGCATAAAGTAAGTTACAAACAAAAGTCAATTACCTCCTCTCCTCATCTAGCCCCACTTCTTGATCCCATCCTCACTCCACTCCCCGTCCCATACACAAAATCCACTCAGCTAGGAGCTGCCAGCCAGATTTCCAAAATCAGAAAGCAGACCCTCCTCAGAAGGGGCTGGGGATCTTCTGCCCAAGATGCTGAAGCAAAAGAGATTCGGTGGTGGGCATTCCTATTTAGGTTTTTTAACAAAAAAAAAAAAATCAACTCTCAGTTCTTATTTTAAATTTTAAAAACTGACTTGCAATTCCAGATCCAGTCTGTCATTCAGAGCCATAACCAATCAAAATTAACTAATCCTACTACCAAGGTCCCTGCAATCTGATTTTGGTCAGGTAGACAGAGTCCATAAGTGTGGAGAGAGAGGCAAGAACAAACTTGTACTGAAAGTCTACTATGAAGCCAGATACTTCAAGTATGTTATCTAATCTTTCAAAATACATGAAATAGGTATTACTATCCTCATTTTACAGACAAGGACACTGAGGCAGCAGGCAATTCCTATGAATGAGAAAAAGCTCTTCATGAAAACAACTACATTGTAAGAGTCACCCAAAGGTAAACCGAAAAAAACAGCCAGAGGCAGTTCTTTCTTAAGAAAAATAAATTTAAAACCAACTTTTTAAATAAATATTTTCTAATTGAAAAGACTGAAAAATTCACCTCCCACAAATATTTCTTAAGAAGTTAGTTACTCAAGAATGCACCCCAGCAAAATGAGGGCAAAATCCAAAACACAGGAAGACATGAGAAAAGGAAAGAGAACTCTAGCCACAGAGAGATATAAAGTCAGTCCTAGGATGACAACTCTGTTGTAGGCCTAGAGAGCAATCAGAATGGCACAGAGACAATGAAGGAATCTGGACACAAAAGCTTGGGGAAAGGAGACTTGATAGAACTGAGGGGATTGAGAGCCTAGAAAATTTTGAAATCATAATAAAGACAAATAATATATAAACATATAAGAAGGCAGTTAGCAACACTAGAAAAAAATGTTTAAGAGAGTCAAGGTCCAGATACGAGGAAATTAAAGGTGATACAATTTTGAACAACTGATAAAGAGTGGAAAGAAAGGATCTATTTCACTTTGGTGCTGAATACAGTGCTGGATATATTTTCCTTTGAGTGGCCCAGGAGTCTTGACACCAAATCCAGTGTGTAAGTCTAAGATCCAATCTCAATACACAAGGCAAACATTATATTTAGAATTTTAATAATATAAGTGTTGCTTATGGACTTTCAACTTTAAAAATAATTTATGAATAAAAAAGTCCATTCTGGGGAAAGCGCAAAATCTTTATGGGGTCAGGGCTTCGGAATTTAAAGCGTTACTGACAAAAAGAAAACTGTAGAACTAACAGCTACCCAAACCTCCTGGACTTACCAAAAGTTACGAAAAGGAAATAAAGGTGGCCTAATACACAAACCAAAAATAATATAAATATCAAATTTGGGAGAGGAAGAGAAAAAACAGTTTAAGGAGCTACATTTCTCACTTTCTTATCAGAAGGTATAAGTTGATAAATCAAAAGTTGTGGTAAAAGCATATTACTTAGGGTTAAAGGGTGACAATCTAAGAATTAAACACAGGAATAGTAAAAAAAAAAATCAAAAGTTTCTCACTGTGAGCCTTGAGAAGGTGAAGGAAACCCCTGTTTTCAACAGAAGTAATTCTGTGTTACTGGATTTGTTACCAAGTGTATATATAGATCACTTTGACAGAAATAATTTCCCACCATACACTTCAGAAAAGGCAAAACACTAAAATTATTATTAAAAATGGGAGTAGCAGGCAAATGGTTTTGTTAGAATTGTATTTAAGAGTGGGGATACATTTTTTTTCCTTATAAAATGTTATTCAAATTAAATTCTTCTTCAAGAATGGAAAGTTCTACTGAAGTTAGGTGATTTTCTTCTTTATAATTTTCTATGTTCTGCTCTATGTACAAATAAACACATGTTCCATTTACAACCAGCATTTTTTTTTAATGTTAATGTGATCGATGTTCAAAGTCAGTGTGCCAGTTGCTAAGAGCCCACCACCGACACATCCTAGGCGGATTTAGTCGCTGCAGCAGACAGCAGGAGCAATGCAGTTGTTTTCAGAGGCCATGCGTTTTAACATTCGATCCTCCCCATTGTTAAATGCTACCCTAACATCACAGGAAAAGTGTGAACGCTTAGAAAAGGTGCCTAAGTGATTGCATCATATACTTAGGAACAGTCTTACCTGAGAAAATGACAAAAAGCTTTTTAAGGCTTTTTAGATGTCCGGGCTTTATTTCCCATAAAGCTCACTGTTCAGCTGGGGAACTGACATGGGGATTAAAGGTGGGAGTGGGGAAAACAGAAAACTATGCCCTAAGTGGATGGCAACAGATTAGAGGGCCAGTCCAGGGTCCACCATTAAATAATGACATGACGATCCCAAAGCATATTGTCACCCTTCCCTGGCCTCAGTTTTCTAGCCAAAAAAAGATCTTGTCAATTATAAAATACTTTGATTTCTGATTTATAAAGCCCTCAAATCCTGACAGAATCAAGAACAGGATTCCACTGCTAGCCCCATTTCACAGATGATGGAGCAAAGCCATGGGTAGGTTTTAAGAAAATGAATTAAGGGTCAGTTGCCACCATCTTCCAAGCTTCTCCTTAAATCCACCAAAATATATTGCCTTTTGAGGCTCTGTGACAAAGTGTGACATATAACATTTACCATATTCCAACTGTAAACAAAGCTCCAAAAGAAACGCAGAGCAGAGACTCTTGGCAGATCGCTTATCTTGAAAGACAATAGTCACAATGACTTAATTTCTTAAATTCCCTTAGCTACTTGGCCAAAAAATTTCCAGGGATAGCACCAGATCAGGCCTACAGGCCCACTACCTACTCATTTTCCCAGCTGTTGTCTTCACTGACTACCCAAAGCCAAATGAAGATGCACCCAGCTTTGGATCAAGGAGTGGCTTTAGCTGGGGGGGATAAGGCAGATGGATCAGATCAACTTTCTCTAAACCCAAGGCTAACTTCCATTTTTAACCTAGTTTCACAAACATAGTTTTGAGCTACTCCACTATTCAAAACATGTGTATAACAGGGAATTCTTTTGTTTTGCTTTTGTTTAGGGATTGTTTCCCTAACTTTCCTCAGATACTAGGCAATCCCAACTCTTACTTCATATTTTTAACAACCAGTTACACTGATCATATATATATTTGTGTGTATATATTTATAAACAGGGTTCAAAAATCATTTGGGACCAAAAATATCCTCCAAAATTATTATAAATTATTGGGCCTTTATTTGTATTAATTACTAAGTCCATTTCTATAAAAGTCACATTAAAATAATTCAAAACTGCATTTACCTAAGTAATACAAGTAAATACAAGATGCTATTTTGGACCTTTATATAGTAATATAAACTAATGCCATCCTTTAGAACATGTCATGATATTACATCACATACTTGAATTCCACCAGCCATTTAGAAATTCAAGTACGTGTCCACACTATCACTCAATAACCAGAAGAAGACCAGCTGCGGAATACAGTAATCATCAAGTCTGTTTCAGGTCAAGTGCTTCTCAGCACTGCATCAACCCTAGAAACAAAATAAAGAACTCCTCCTTGCACAGGATGTCAACAGCTTTGGGATGGGGAAGGAGTAACTGGTCACCAGTATGAGTCAAAGGGTTGGCTATTATAAGCCTCATTCATTACTGTGTATGTGTTATTAGGGTTCTCTCATAGCAATCAACGTATCAAATATTAGTGGCAAAGAAAGGCTCTTTTTAAAATAGCATATAACATCTTACTTCTAAACTAAGGCTACTCAACCAAAGAAACATGGGCTTTAAAAAGAAGTCGAAGGCAAGTTCTTACAAGAGGAGTTTCTCTCCATAGCAGGAACAGCCAGCCAGTGCAGGCAATCCTGAACCAAGTGGTCCAGCTGGGATGACTTCCAGCAGAGGCTGCTGATACCCTTACCCCCACTACTCCATGACCTTACCAATTTCAAGTTTCAGCTTGGTTTCTCCTCCAGAATATAATTATTTGAGGGTACCACAATTAAAAAGACCTTCTTTGTGCCTGTGAATATATTTTCCTATACAGTCTAATTCCCAACAAATGTAAAATTCATTACATTAAAACCCGGAACAATGTGAAGGGAAGAAGGATGACAAAGCAGCCTCCTGATTTGATGGTTATTAGGTTACCAAATGTGATATAACAAAACTCCTGACCCAATTTCCACACAATTGATTTGCCCAGCCCACAACTACTTCACCACGCAGTTGGTAATTACATCACCATGCTGTGTGGTCAATACGTCACCCAGCTGGTAGCAGAAAGGCCTACTAGGCAATGTTCACTTTTCCAGCTTGCTTTTCCCAAGAATGGGATGACTGCAGACCGCCTACACCACCGAGACCCTCTCCTTCTCAAGCTTCATAAGTTTTCTAGCATGTATCTTGGGGGTCACATCCCAATGGACCAGGCTCTGAGTTATCTAGAGTGGGCAGAAAAGGAGTAAAAGTTTGTGTCCAGGAGTCTGTGACAATACTTCAGATGGTGGGCATAGTCATCTATGTGTTTCATAAGAATCCCCTCAAAACTGCTTTCCCCCCCCCTCTTACGTCTAAGCGTTTTCACGTCCCAAATCTGTTGTGACTTCTAGAAACTTGGAATAACTTCACCAGACCCTCTGTTTCTGATCCCTTACAATTCCAACACCCAGAGACTTACTCCCTGCTTCCAGCTTCCCAGATCCCTGGGCGAGAACCGTGGAAGGACACACATTGACACACAGTATCACACGCAAAAGAATAAGCATGCGCGCTCTGGGTATAGTGACTCTGTGGCCCCCTTGGCTCTAGGTTGACTTACTTGAGGAAGTACCTCTGGCCAGTGGCCGTGAAGGTCATCTCCCAGCCCGCGGGCAGCGGCAGCTCGTCGGTCACGTCGTAGGACTGCTGGCGGAGGTGCGCGTGCTGCTGCGCCTGGCTGCCCGCAGCGCCCGCGCCGGTGCCCAGTTGCAGGGACGCGGGCGACGAG